TTTTTGGCATCAGGGTCCAATTTTATGGAAGAGAGTTTTTCCACGGACAGGGAAGGGGGATCATCAGGCATTAGATTCTCATAAGGAATGTGCAACCTAGATCGTTTTCATGTGCAGTTCAAAATAGGGCTCACACTTTTATGAGAATCTAATGCTGCCACTGACCTGGCAGAAGGCGAGCTCTGCTCACCTGCTGCTCACCTCCTGCTGTGTGGCCTGGTTCCTAACAGGCCATGGAACAGTACTGGTCCACGGACTGGGGATTGGGGACCCCTGCTATAAACTATTCATCCATCCATCCATGTATGCATCTATATTTCCATCCATCTGTAAACCATCCATTAATCAGTCCATTCATCCATCTCTCCATCCATCCATGTGCAGATCTATACATCTATCCACCTCTAAACCATCCATCCATTCATCCATGTATGCACCTATATTTCTGTCCATTCATCCATCCGTGTGTTCATCTATATATCCATCCATCCATAAACCAACCATTCATCCATCCATCCATCCACTGAGAGGCAGAGTAGCACGATGGTTCCGAGTGTGCCTCAGGACACTGCCACAGAGTCTGTCAAATGTCCTTTGCCCCCTGGAGTCATCAATCATTCTGTTATTGATTTGTGTCATCTTAGGCAGCCTCCCTGAGCCTTGGTTTTCCCAGATGTGACATGTGGCTAGTAAAACCTAAGAGTCTGTGAAGGTTATATGCAGCTGGTGAGTTGCCAAGTCCAGGTGAACAATGAGACTGGCATACTTGTGGCTAGACCTTCAGCTCAGAGGGTCATGGTGCTGGATGGTTTCTGTGTTCATAAGTGGACGTCCCCTGCCTCCAAGCCATGGGGCGCTCCCCTTGTTGGAGAGACCAGACATTGTTTGAGGGTGTCTCCCCAGCAGGTGTGACTTCCACCCTGCTGCCTGGCCTTATGTACAGGAGCTGGACCTTGTGCACCCGTCTACCCTTTCCTGAGAGGGAAGAAGCCTCCCTTGCTGAGGTGGGAAGAAGAGGGGGGAACTGACAGCTTCCTGAGCATTCCCCAATCTCGACTATCTCCCCGGTAGTCGAGAGCTGCAGAAATAAATGAAACTGTATTGCCGGAGTAATTTGCTAATTTGCTTAAGTAACACCCCTAGTCAGAGACATGACATAAATACATTAGTGTGGGCTCTGCCCCCCCTCCCAGCTTGGGCGGTGCTGGGAGCAGGATGGATGGGTGATATGAAGCAGAAACGTGGATGACTCAGAGCTTGGTGGCAGTCGGTGCTGGCTACCCCTCCCACTGAACCAGTGGACTCTTTTCGCCTCCTCATGGCTGTGTGCTTGGGAAGGGGCTCAATGATGGGCCCACACTGACTCTATGGTCTGGTGGTCTTGGAGGAGTCTGAGGTGCCATCCCAGAGGTGTAGGTAGGGTCAGCTGGACCAGCATCCAAGGCCACCACTCCCCTCCCCTGCTGTGGGGCCTGGGCGGGTTTCTGTACTTTCGAGCCTCAGTTTCCTCAGCTGCAAAGCAGAGAAAATAAAATCAAGTACTTTAGAAGGTTATCTGGGGGAGATAAGATCTCCACTCTCCACCCAGGGGTCCTGGAAGTGGCAGTCTTTCTTGTTCTGTCCCCCGTGGCCCTCCCCAGCTACTGGGGCCCACATAGCCCTCTTCTCTCTTCTCCACAGCCTGAGCACCACTGGAGAGGGCTTCTGTGCATCGGGTTGCACTGTGGTGTTGTTGGTGGCTGCCGGACTCCTGCTAGAGCCTGTTGGGGATAGAGATGGGTGAACCAAACACGCCTACTCCCGTGCTCCTGGAGCTCTCCTGCAAGGGGAACAAGCAGACTACTCAGCACCTCTGGACCAGGCCCTGTGGGGTGGGCTGTGATGAAAAGTAGGAGGATGGAGGAGGCAGAAGGGGCTTAGGAGCATCCCTGTGACCCGAGTGGAAGCACCTCCCCAGACCAGGGGCCAGATTCATTTCCTTTGTGTCTCTAGGGACTGTGACAAAGGCCGGAAAACCAAACGTCTACCAGGAGTGGACAGTAGTACCTTTAAATGAGTGAAGTGGACTAGGTGTGAACGGTAGGGGCAAGTGGGGACTGGGACAAACTGGATATTTTCATCCCGTCTAAGGGGACTACAGATACTCAGCGCATCCTGACTGGGCTAGGATCATGGGGTGTTCATTTTTGTTTATTTATTTATTTAGAAAACAGAAGTAATGAAGTGTTATTGGGAATCACAAATTTTTAATGTTGGCAACAAATTCAAATTTTATAAAAAGCTGTGCCAAACAAAATATGTCTGTGGGCGGGTCTGGCCTGCATGTTTCTAGTTTACAAACTCTGACCCAGGGAAGCTGCTTGATTTTTTTTTTAAATATCAAAAGTTTTATAGATTTCCATTTATTATCTTCTGTAATACCAAGGCAGTCTTGCAAGGTAGGTGTTCCTGGCATCATTTTACAGGTCAAGAAATTGAGGCACAGAGAGGCTAAGTCATACAGCTGGTTGGTGGTAGAGTGAGTCTGGAGCCCATGCTGCCAGAGCTAAGAGTCCACGGTCTGTCATGCCCCCATGGCCTTTCTGAGTTGATAAATACCAAAGAAGAGAGGACACCATTTTCTCAAACCTGAAAAAGAAGTCTGGGGTGGCTGGTGAGTCAGTGATGAGTAGATTGTGGTTTTCTGCCAGTTTTGCAGAACACTTCTGTCTGGCCTCTGGGCTTCCCTCCCCACCTCTCTGGCCCACCCAGAGTGGCCAGGCTGGAATTGGCTGTTTGCCATGGCTGTAGGGCACATGGCTGGGCACACAGTGCAGGTCCCACCTGGGGAGGCAGGGGGTGGAGAAGAAGCACATAACCAGGTTCTGGATCCTTCTGTTTCATTGCAATTAGAGCATAATAATGGTTGTAGTTACAGGACAGGTTCTATGATATGTATGGCCATAAGCCTAGCCTGCCTTTCCCTGGAGCTCACACGAGGGCTGGGGAAATGCGCTCCTTCCCAGAACACTCTGACTGGGGCGGAGTCTGATCACGCATCTTCCAAGTCTGATCCCATACTGTGTGTGTCAGTTTCCAACGAGACAAGCCTCAGAATTTGGAGCAGAGGCAGTTCTGGAATTCGATTCTCCACGGAATGCTCACATAGCAGATGACGTAGCGTCTCATACCATGGTCAAGGGTGGAAAGGCCCTGCTGTTCCTGAACTGCTGCGTTACTCCAGGGATGGACAGCGGTGCCTGTGCTGTTGACTGGAGCACTGGGAGAAAGAGCAGTGCGGGGAGTCTTGGGGAAAGGGCTCAGGGGACCCTGAGGATGGGAAGTTCTTTACCCCCTGGGAAGGGGCTGTCACCAGTCACACCCATCTTGATCAGAAGGGAAACTGAGGTTCAGAGAGGTTAAGTGACTTGTCCAGGAGAGAGATGACAGAGCCAGGATTTGAAACCAGGTGAGCTGGCTCCAAAGCCAGGCACTTTGCCTTGTGTGTGACAAGGTGAAGGTCATGGTCGCTGGGAACGGTGAGGATTCATCTCGAGGTGTGGTTCTCCCTTGGTTCAGGGGGCCATCAACAAGATCTCTTCCCTGTTCTTGTCCTGGAGCTTGGAGGTCTACCCCGAGGACTCCCTCTAGGAGGGGAGGCCAGAAGAGTGGCTTCAGCTCTCCTCAGAATGGGACTCTGCATCCTGGCCATGAAGAGGGCACTCCCTGAGCTCTGGAGAAAGTGCTCGGGCCACACGGGAGTGGCTCAGAATCCAGCTCTGGCAGCTCGTGGCCGTTCGTCCTCTAGCATGTCATACCCCAGCTTCCTGAGTCTCAGTTTTCACATCCACCTAATGGGATGATACCAGAACCCGACCCAGTGCCTGGCACATAGCTGGGGCTCATATGTACACACTCCAGGAACACTTTGGAATGGTTCTAGTCACTTACGCTGACCAATTCAGGACTATAGAAGTGACTTTCTTGTTGAATTAGCTACATTAGTAAAGTGTAGTGTCTCTTGCACTGGTTCCTTCAAAAACCAGAGTTCAAGTCATTTAGATGTTCCATTTAAATGGCTCATGGGACCCCAGCAGCTGAGGCTAATGAGGGTGGGGGCCAGAGGACCCAGCCGGATGTCAGGCTGGTTCTCAGAGAGGGTAGAAGTGGGAGAGTGGTAGGGCGTGGCCTTGACTGAAGCCAAGAAGCTGTGGCGGTTTTAGGATTGCATAGGGCCAGCCTGGTGGGTGGGGCCCTTTTAGAAGGTTGTCCAGAAACACATCCACAGCTGATCCCCTGGGAGGCAGTACATACTCCTCCTCAAGGCATCTGCAAAGCTGGACTCCAGGGAGGGAAAGGAGAAGTGTGCCTTGGAAGAAACTCCCGGGATCTTGCAGGCAGCAAAGCTAGAATGACACTATTGTTAGTTCAGTGAATGGTGTATATGGACATTTTTGTTTTGATTCCATTTAGACTTTGTTTTGACTTTGACTTCCACGACAGTGGGAGTGGGCGCTGCCATTTTCGCCGAGGGTAGGATCCCCAGATGTTGGAACTGGGCTCTGCAAAGAACTTTTGGAATGTGGGGCCAAAGAGTCAAGAGATCCGGGGGGTAGGGGCCTGGGACCGTGAGGCTGGTGACAGCTAGGGCTGGGGGTCCAGGACAGGGGCTTCCTCCAGTGGAAAACTGGCTCAGACAGCGGGAGTGGAGGTAGATGAGTCCCAAGGAAGAGGCCAGGCACCATGTGGCTCAGAGGCCTGGGAGGAACCTGTCTAGCCTTCTCCCACTGGTCTCAGGGGTCGATGGCCAGTAGAGGCCTGGGCAAGCAGAGCTGTGGAGGTGGTGATCGGGCTGCTGTCTCCTCTGAGTTGAGGACAGCAGTTGGGGGGTTGGCAGCAGGGGTACCCCTGCTAGGTGACTCTGGCAGCTTCCACCTGCCCCTGCCCTGGCCATGCTGTGGCTTCCAGAAAGGCCAACAGACCCATGCTGTGTGTTTGTCTGTCTGTGTCTGCCCCTGCAGGCAGCCTGCCCTATGAGTACAAGATTGTGATCGCAGGCAACCACGAGCTGACCTTTGACCAGGAGTTCATGGCCGACCTCATCAAGCAGGATTTTTACTACTTCCCCTCCGTGTCCAAGCTGAAGCCGGAGAACTACGAGAACGTGCAGTCACTGCTGACCAACTGCATCTACCTACAGGACTCGGAGGTCACCGTGCGGGGCTTCAGGATCTATGGCTCCCCATGGTGAGTGGCCCGGATGCTGGTCCTGACTGCCGTCAAGACTGGAGCTAAGGCTGTGTGGAGAGGGGATTGGGGATGGGAAAAGTAGCGGGAAGCACTAAGTCACACGGCTCAGGACTAAATCTCATCCCCCTCAACCTCTGTGTGGCTCTGGGCAGGTCACTGCTGTTCTCTGGGACTCTGTTTCCCCATATCTCACCGGAAAATAGTAATATCAGCTGTACCCTGTGATATATGGTGCTATACTACTGTACATACAGGCAGGTCCTACTGTCTCTACTTTACAAGAGCGGAAACTGAGGCACCTTGCTGAAGGTCACACAACTAGGAAGGGGCAGAGCTGGGATTAAAACACAACCCCTGCCTTTAGTCATTATTCTACAATGCTAGGAATTTTCCCTAATGCTTGTCTTCCTCCTCACCCCAAAAAGGTACATAAATCGGGGGGTTGTGATAACTGATCAGCCTGACCGAGGAAACAGCCATGAATGGCCACAAGCCTGAGTCACTGTATGGGGATGGCAGCTGTGTAAAAATCCAAATACACGTCAAGTCCTCATTCTCTGCTGGGGACACAGAAAGAGGTCAGGCCTTGACTCTGAACTTACCTGGCTGGGTGAGGATCAAGGTGAGACCGGGTCATGGCTGTTCTGGGTGGGGGATCAGGATGCCCATAAGGGCCCTGGTGATGGTGATGGTGATGATGGTGATGGTGAAGAAAATGGCGATGATGTTGATATTGATGGCAGGGAAATCACTTCTGAGCAATGACAGTAACTGGGCCCTGGGCTAAAGTCTCCATCGACATTATCTCTTATCCTTACTCAGCCCCGTGAGGACTTACTTATTATCCCCATTCAACAGGTGGACAGCATGACTGGCTCTTAGAGGCCCAGCTGGCAATAGCCACAGGGTGCCAAGTGCTGGCAGGGTGAGGTGGTTTTCGTATATGGAAGGGAGAGACCACATACGTTTGAAAGTGTGTCTTGATCCAGAAGGCTCCCTTGAGGAGATGCTGTGACCTGAGCCTTGAGGGAAGAGAGGGCATTCACAGGCAGGGAAGGGGCAACATGGCCTGAGCCTGTGCTATCAACTGGAGCCATCCAGGCAGGGAGGACGAGGGCCTATTTGGGGGTTCGCGGGGTCTGTTTGGGTGGAGGAACTCCAGGGAAAGCTACTGCCCACAAAAGTCATCTAGGAAGTCCTAGGCTGCCCTGGTTGATGCCACTTGATGGCCACCTGGTGGCTGGAGATTGTGGGCAGATTTAGAACCTAGTCCTGTCTTTCCAAGGCCTCCTTATGGAGATGGTGAGGATGATGATGATGCTGTGTTGATGGTGATGATGGAGCAGAGAGGAAGGCAGGGAAGTGCCGGGCTGTCCCATCTCTGGGCCTCAGCAGGTAGCTGCTGTCATTTCCCTCGTCCTCATGATGCACAAGGTCTTGATGGACCCTCCTTGCAGCCAGTAAGGTCCCAGATGAGGACCTTTGGTGCACTCTAGGTTGTGATGAGCTCAGTACCAAGGACAAAGAGAGAAGAGGTGGTAGCCGAGTCTGCCTGACAGGCCACTGGAGCACAGACCTGGAAAAGATGTCTGTAAGACACAAAGTCAGCAAGAGGGCATTCTAAGTGGTAGACCCAGTGTGAGCAAAAGCCTGGAGGTGAGCTGGCATGGTGGCAGGGGAGTGGTGGAAGGTCAAGTAGGGAAGTAGGGAGGCACGGAGAGGTCGGCAGGGAGGCACGGAGAGGTCGGCAGGCACGGAGAGGCACGGAGAGGTCGGCAGGCTCTGCCTCTCAGTACCTGGGCATCTGGACTGAGTCAGTTTGCCCAGGGGTTTTCAACTTGCTGTCCCCAAACTCTTTTTCCTTCAAGTTACATTTTGTAGAAGGTAAAAGCATGACTTTGGAACCAAACTATCTGGGCACAAATCTTGGCCTCACCCTTTACCGGCTGTGTTAACCGAGCCACTTAACCTCTCTGTGCCTCAGTTTCCTCCATTCCCAGTGTCACGACGGAGGCATCAGCCTTGTTATTTGTTACAGAGCTGGAGAACAATGGGGCTGAGGGCTGGCAGTGTCACTCAGGATTGCCCACTTCTTCCCAGAGCTGCTCTGCACACCCTGCAGCTGGGCTCTGAGGAACCCCTTGGACAACTGGCTCCTTAGGCTCTCAGGTGAACTAAGGGCCAGGGGTGGGCCCAGGCCTGTGGCCTTCTGTCAGTGGAGGCTACATCCTGGTGCTGCCATGGCGGCAGGCCTGAGGCCTAGGTGAGGCTGGCTGTTGGTCCTGGTGTTGTCCAGCTGCCGTGAGCGTGAGCCACCCGTGGCTCCTGCTTTTGGCTTCTTGCACGGGCAGTTCTGGGGTCCCTAGTTCCCCGGGGCCTGAGTACAGGAGCACTCTCTCCTTGACCCCCTTACTGGCTGGGTACACACATATAACCTGTGTCCCAGCACCAGGCTGCGGGAGTGGGAGAGGCCACGGACAGAAGGGGCCTGAACCCAGAAGATGAATTCAGGGGCTGTGTGACCTTGCACCGAGAAGGGCTTGGTAAGATCTGAGAGGGCTCCCTGTTGGAGGGGCTTTTAAATTGGAGCCAAAAGAGTCATGGGATTTCCATAGACAGAGGAGGTAGGGGAGGACCTACCTGTCTGAGCCTTTGTTACGTGCCAGGCTCTGCGCCAGACTCTTTTTGGGGCTGATGTCATTGAACAGCCCTTAATGCTAGGGACTAAAGGCCCCCGTCCCCATCCCATGATGCAGGCTGTGAGCTGGAATGCCCCCTGGTTTCTCTCAGATCCTGTCTGGGGCTGGGAGCAGGTGTGGGAGGTGAGACCTGGCTCATTTGAGACCTGGCTCAAGTTTCACTTGGTTTTAACTCGTGTGAGCTAATTGCTTGCATCTGCTTCCGTGGTGGCACAGGAATATTCCTGAGCTGCTCTAGCTGCCACCCACCCCTCTGGGGCCTGCTGCTGGGAAGCTGGGTCCCTGCCACTGTACCCTACAGTGTGGGCTGTTCACATTGGGGTGGCATCTCTTTTTAGCTGTGTGACTTTGGGCAAGTAGCTTAGCCTCTCTGGCCCCTCCATATAGTGAGGAAATGATACTACTTGCCTTGTAGGAGGTCGTGAGATCTGTGTGGGCCCATCCAGATGGAGGCCTGGGCCCAGGGCATGCCCCTGAGGGTGGCTGTAGTTATGATTAGTGGGGTGCTCCTCGTTGGGTCGGAAGTAGGATTGCTCTATTCTAGTCCCCAAGGCAGGGATAGTCCTATAATTACTCCCATTTTACAGAAGGGCGAGTGGAGGTCCAAGCAACCATGTGGCTTGTCCAGGGCCACACAGTGAGCAGTTCTCGAGGCTCCTGGTCCTGACTCTTCCAGCTCTGGGACAGAGGCCATTCAGTGTCCTTTGCTCAATGTCCTCTTGCGCCAGGCTTGATCCTTAGGGTAGCCTTATCGGCCTTATGAGGACACTGAGGCCTAGGGGCTGAAATGTGTGTTAAGTGCTGGGGAGACCTGGGGATGTGAAGTGAATGGACAGACACAGCTGCTGCCTTCATGGGGTTTACGTTCCCGTGGGAGACAGCCAACAGCCAGTTCCTGTGGCTGTGATGGAGAGGCCGGGAGCTGGGGCCAGGGAAGGCTTCCCGTGGGGAGAGCCAGAGACTGAAGAGATACAAGCAGCGAAGGGGGCTGGGAAGGGTGTGGCTGGCAGAGGGAACAGCCTGTGCAAAGGACAGGAGGCTGAGAGGGCCTGGGGCATTCTGGGGGCTGCAGAGCTGAGTGTGGCTTCCAGAGGCCTGGAAGAGAACAGAGACTGGGTGGCCCAGCACCACCAGAACCTGGGTCTCTGGGTCCTCAGCCGTCACCCCACTCTCTGCCTCCCTACCACGCTGCTGGAAGCCAGGGCTCTGCAGAGCAGCCTTCTCCCTTCATGGAGTTTCGGGCCAGTAGGTGGGTAGATGGCATGGGGTGACCTGGAGTGAGGCAGAGCGCTGTTCTGCCAGGGTCCTCTGGTGGAGAGGGACCCTCAGCTGCTGGTGGCCCCAGGTGATGCTAGAAGCCACACAAGTGGAAGTGGCATCAGCCAGCCCCTAAAAAAGATGTTCGTGCTTAAAGACCCTCCTGGCCTGGCTGCCGATTCTGCCTGGCGTGGGGTGGGGTGTGTGGGGGCTGTGCGTCCCCTCCTGACCATCTGTGGAGGCCCAGGCAGGGCACCCGGCTCCCCCAGCACTGGTCGCCTGGCATATGGCGGCTCCTTAGGAGGGTGCAGGTGACAAAACGGGTTGTGATCATTATGAAATTCAGAGGTTTGAGGTCTTTCTTTGCTCTCTTCTCCGACCCTGAACATATTAGCTAATGCGTGGAATACCGGAGACGCCCTTCCCAGCCTTAGAAGCATAGTTACACCAGTAGGCAGAGATGGAATAACCCGCAGTCACAAGGGACCTGACTGCTACAGCAGCTGGGGCGTATGGGCAAGGCTGACTGGGCTGGGGGGCAGATGTGTTCTGTGTGGCTCTAGAAAGTGGAGCAGGGGACAGAAGGAAGTGACAGGAGGCCGTCTCACCAGTGTGGGGAAGACTCTCCCATGGGCCAGGATCCCAGAAGAGAGTGATGTGGCCTTGCCAAAGAGTGAGCTGCCTGTCATGAGGGGCGTGGAAGCAGAGGTCTGCCGTGGGTGGGCCCAGTGTCTTCCCAGTCCCTTCCCCCTTTACAGAGCCACATTTCCTCTGCCCGCGGCTGATGATCCCCGCCCTGTAAGCAGCGGGAGGCACAGGCACGTTCCTGGGGAGGTCCTTACACTGCTAGACTTGAGAGACTGGCCTTGATGTTGAGGATTCTCCAAAGCAAGCTAGAAAGGAGAAACACAAAGCAAACCGATGGTCACAGCAGCTGGCTTTTCTTCTGAGTGTTTATGGGTTTTGGATGCATTTTTTGTTCTCATTACCAAGTGATGCTCTGCTTAGGAGCCTAATGGGTCAGATTTCAATGGTTCTAAC